GGGAGATGGGCACCGTGTAATGCGGTGTGACCCTCTCTGCCCCAGAAGGGCCTGCCCTGGCTAGTCCTATATTGAAATAGTCAGGACCGTAAATATGACTGACACACACAGAGCGCTTCGCTGAATGACAGAAAGCTGACGCGGGCTCCGCCGCACGTGCTTTTATAGCTTCCTGGTCATGACGTCACCCGCCGTGACGTCCCGTTCAGCTATTGGACTGATTTCACATGTGATTCAGAGCGTGGGTCGCAGAAGGCGTTCCCCTAGTGTTTTCGACGCAGCTCGAGTTCCTGAAGAGGAACTACATAGACATACTTAAAAACAACAAAAACTAATACTAAAATTAACACAAAAGCAGAAAATACAAAAATCAAAAGTCAAATATTAAAGTCAAAATATTAACAAAAACTAAAATATTACCTCAATGCTACTGAAATAACACTGGTTTGGTCAAATAAATTTAGCCTTGGTAAGTATAAGTGATTTCTTTCTAAACCAAAAAAAAAAAAAAAATCTTACAGACCCCAAACTTTTGAAATTATTTTATTTTATTTTTTCTGTCCTTCTATAAAAAGTTTTTCTTTTTCTCTATAAAAAAACAACAACAACAACATGCAAGTCATTTTTGAATAAGCTATCCCTTTAAAAATATATAGTATAAAACCTTAAACATGTTTAAGGATGACTGATATTACACAGTCAGATGACACAAGTGTTTATATAAGTTGTCCAGCTTTTAAAGCAGCCCTTATATGAAAGACATTTTCCGATAGAGATGATGCAATGCTAAAAGACCAGCACTAATTGGGTCTAATGTGTCTCCTCTGCCGAGAAGCAGCGTTTATCCAATGCTGTGAATGGGAAAGCTGCTTATGCACTGTCATACTGAACACGCTGTGGCCTAAAGCATTGTTAAATAGCATCTCTATTACCTAATTAGCCCATGGAAGGTTGCTGGCTCCTACACAAACATCATTAGACAAGACCAGTGAAGAAATTGGCTACAGTCAGAAAGCAGAGGTGTCCTTAATGACCTCTACCCACTTTCCACCATTTCTCTCTTTTTCTCTCTCTCTCTCTCTCTCTCTCCATCTCTGTATGAACTGATGACAAAGATCTTTCTCTGGTCTTTGTCACTGTCTACTCAAAGTTTTTTCCACCAGTGAACCCCTCAGTTGTGGCTTTGTCATGTTGTCAACACAGCGGCCACAGTTCCTCATCTCCCACCAGCCAATCAATAGTGGATTAACATTACTGAAAGTTACAGTGCCACGCCACCCCACTCTAAATGTTGCAAAATCAATGTTCTTATGGGAAATGTTGAAAAGAGGGCAGCTCCTTGGTGTGTGAGCCCATTTCAAGAGTTTATTTGCCTGTAAAAACCTCAGCGCACGCCAGTGGGTAAGAGCTGTGTTCTGATATTCATAATCAGTCACACTGCAGTCTGAACCTTTTATTTGCAAACTGCACTAGTCACTTCTTTGTAGTGCCAATTGAACCAGTGACTTAGAGCTACATTTAAAAGTACTGACTCAAAGTCTACTCACCATCATTTTTATTTAAAAAGAAGAAGAAAAAAAAACTCAATCACATTGTAAAAGTATGTAAAAAAGGAAAAAGGTGCTCTAGTCTTAGTTTACCCTGTCTACTCTAGTCTTAAATAGGTAACTGACACCTAAATGCTATTATAAGAGTTCTCAATGTTACTTGTTAAAAGCTTGCAAATTAAGTGTTGCTTTGTTTACATTTATTTTCCCGCAAATGAGAAATGTGTGTTCCCTTTCAGTCGGTCACTCTCGACGTCACGTCGGATGACCGACGAATTGGGATCTCGCTTAGAGAGACCAATCTACTTCGAGTGTAAACTAAACGAGCCAATGCACATTGGCATGCGATTATTGCATCCAGCTGCCGCTGATCACAGCGTGAGTATAAGTAGGCAGCAGATGCAGCGCATATTCAGCTTTTCGCTTCGGAGCCGAGCGATCACATCGTTCTGCTCCTGACTACTCTACTGAGAGAAGAAGACTGAACGAGTTCAGCGCGCTCTTGGAGAGCTCTTCGTGTTGGCGGTACGGCGCTGCAGCGGTGGTGGTTTCCCGTGTCAAGTGGGTTGCACACATCAGGCTGCACTACCCCCTGTTTGTGTCGCAGATGATCATCTCCCCTGTGCGCCTCAGCACACTAAAAGAGCTTTTTCCCCTAAAAGAGCAATTTCGGGTGCGTCTTTCTAAAGACGACGTTGCGTGGCAAACTTGACGTTACGTCTTTGTAAAGACGATGTGGGTCTTGCTATAGACAACGTATCACCCGAGCGTTTCTGGATGCGGTCGTTACCTGGCGCCGGGTGATGGTCACGATCGCTGCCTCACGTGCCTGGGCATGTAGCACGCTGAGGTGGCGTTTGTGGATGAGTCATCTTCTCATTGCAGGAAGATGATCATCTCGGAGTCGCGGGCCAAGCTCCGTTTCCTCAAGGGGCGGAGTTCCGTTGCCTCTGCCTTGATCTAGTTCTCCTCTTGGCGGCAGCCAGGGGGGGCTACTTCAGGCAGTAGCGCGGGCGGTCTGAGGCACTCCGCAGCCAGTTGAGCTGCCAATGGAACGTGCTGGGCCCTCTACAAGGAGCGCACCAGCTGTATCCTTTGGTGCTCCTCCAGATGTCGATTGCTGCATCGGAGGGTGAGCCAGAGCTTTCTGGAGAGGAAGATTCGGCTGCGCTGCTCTCCTCCGGGACTGTAGCAATGCCTGAATCGGATCCAGAAATAATGGCTATGCTTTCCCGGGCCGCCGTAGGGGTAGGGCTCGAGTGGAGACTTCCACCGTGTCCCGAGCCCTCAAGGTTGCACGATTGGTTCTCGGGGTGGTCCGCGCTGGTTCTCAGCGCCCAGCCTCTTACACTCGAAGTAGATTGGTCTCTCTAAGCGAGATCCCAATTCATCGGTCATCCGACGTGACGTCTCCGTTCCCTCCTTCAGGGAACGAGGGTTACCATACGTAACCGAGACGTTTCAATTACAATAGTACGGTAAACAACAATAGTATGAAAAAAAAAATCACAATTTATTACTGGGAGTTTCATGATGAAATAAAATAAAAACTGTGTTATTTCAATATTTTTCCAAATGTTAATATTTTTAATATTTCTCCAACTGCTTTACCTACATTAAAATAAATATACATAAAAATACATAAAAATATTTAGAATAATATATAAATGCATCATAATAGCATTAGATCTGCTGGTCTTAATTCACTCTACTCTAGTATATATTTTAATATTTATTGATATTTCTACAACTGCTTCACCTACATTAAAATAAAAATATTCATATAGCATCACATATGCCAGTCTTAATTCACTTTATCTACTCATAGGAAACCAACACTTAAACATTATTATGATGTTATTTACATTACTTTTTAGAAGCTGGTATCATTTTTTAATATTATTGAATTGAATTATTGTCATTGCATTTAAAATACAACGAGATTTTGTATGCTCTTCCAACACAAAATACTATCATAAATACAAACACAAACAATAAATATAATTGCACTAATGCTTGGTGTATATTGCACAAATACATAAATAAGTACATAAATGGAATGATACTCGTAATAAATTATGACAAATGAGACTTTGTACTTTGATTGACCTGAAACGTCTTCCTTATTTATGTTATTATTATTAATAATAATAATATCATATTTTGTAAATGAAAAATGTATAATAAATGTAATGTAATGCTTATACAGCCATTCAAACAGTCTCTTTCATTGTTGAAACACCAGTATGAATAAAAAATATTTATTTCTCATATTTATTTTAATCAAATTTATTGCAGGCAACTGAATGGCAGTCAAAACAACAAAAAACAATAAAATAGCTTGTGATTTTAGTTTCTAGAAAGATTTGAAATGTTATACTGCACATGCAAAACGGCAACCAAAAAGCAGTTTAATGAAATGTTGTAGAAATGTTTTGTGTTTGCTGGAATTGTGCTGCAGAGTGAACAAAGGCACAAGATAACTGGCAATGAGAAGGGTACAGGTTCTCTTACCTAACACCACCAATTCGGCACCAAAATAAATGATTCCGTGTTTGTTCTCAGCGACACACTGATACATGCCAGCATCTGAGAGGTTTACGGAGCTGATTGTCAGGGCTCCGTTCTCTATCTGGATCCTGTCCTGTGAAACAGAGGAACAGCAATGAAGAGAATTTTAAAATAGCTGTGCATTCAACTCAAACAACAGCGGCAGAGTTTTAGGCATTATATAATCAATACAACTTTGTCATATACATTTAACAGAGCTCCCCTGCTGAGGTTTGACCCAAGCATCTTTGCACTGCCATCCCAGTCTTTTTACGACTACACCATTGCTTGAATTTTACCTCTGCTGCCAGGAGTTCTCCATTCTTCAGCCAGCTGTATGAAGGCTTGGGCTTCCCATTGGCCTTACACTCCCAGAACAATCTCTCTTCGATTGACAACGCATTGTCTCGCATCGTCTGAACCCACTGAGGCTTTGCTGAAGAGACAAAAGTCAATCATTTTTATGAATTAATTCATTAGTCCTTCTTTATGTATTATTTGTAAGTTTTTGAATCACAAAGATGTTTTTCTGGTCTTTGTGAAGATCTTTTTTTATGGTCTTTGTTCTCAGTTGTGATCATGTTGTCAACAGAACGCCCACAGTTTCTCATCTCAGTATTTTTCACATTTTATGCTCACCAAGGCTGCATTTATTTGATCATAAATACAGTAAAAACCGTAATATAGTGAAATATTATTACAATTTAAAATAACTATTTTCTATTTGAATATATTTTAAAATGTAATTTATTCCTGTGATGCAAAGCTGAATTTTCAGCATCATTACTCCAGTCTTCAGTGTCACATGATCCTTCAGAAATCAGTATAATATGATGATTTGCTGCTCAAGAAACATTTATTATTATTATCAATGTTGAAAACAGTTGGACTGTTTAATGTTTTTGTGGAAAGTTCAAAAGAACAGCATTAGAAATATATAATATTATAATATTATTAGAAATAATTTGTGATATTATAAATGCCTGTCACTTTCATCGGTTTAATGTGTCCTTGCTGAATAAAGTAAAAATAAAAACTTTTAAACTGTAGTGTGTAATCATCACATTCTTGACTGATAGGTTGACACTGGATATTTTTAAGTTCTACATGTTAGTTAATGTCTTAAGAAAACATTAGTTATGAAAAAGAAAACAACAAAAAACAAAGCTATTCTACGACTGCTTTAGCTATTTATATTGTTATCTTAAAATGAAAATTTTTCTATGCATTTCTCCTCTTTTCAAGCTTGCCTCCTTTTTGTCTAATAAACACAGCATTGTGTATTACGATTATTGTTGGCTCTTTGACAAATTGCTTTGTTCCTCTTTTGTAACTCGCTTTGGATAAAAGCCTCTGTTAAATGCATAAATAAAAATAGTGCCACGTCTTCCAATCTTAATGAAAACATAATTAAGGCAAGCACTGTTAACAATGATTGCTTAGTTATTTCTATACTTATTGTATTTCTAAATTAATTATTTTCTTACGATGAAGACTTACAGTTGAGGGCCATATATAGGGACTAGAAAATCAGAGACTTGGGCTTGTGCTCTAGTAACATGCTAGCAGTTACAAAAAACCTCCAACTGTACAATGATTTTAGGGTTTGGCTTTGCTGAAACACGGCCACTCTTTTATCCGATTAATTGGAAGCACAAAATGTCAATAAGCACTTGATCTATCCGTCTTCCTGCCGATTGAAAAGGTGACAGGTTTCCATTCATGTCCCCGATCCTGGCTAGATTCACGATTGAACCATCAAGCACGGTTCTATAATGTGACTCTCTCTCCTCATGTTCTGCATTGTTGATTTCCACCAATCACACAAGATCTGTGCAAGCATGCCTATAGATGAATCATCAATCACCATTCCCGCTAATGGAGCTTGCAGGTTTTGTGGCAACTAAGCACTTAACTGATCGATCGGAGTCACGTACTGATTGACTCATCAAGAAAACTGATCAGCTCTGGTTTCCCAGGAATTAATTAAACCCAAACATCTATGAAACACAAGAGCTGACCAACCTGGCAACTGCTATCAGTTCTTCTTTTCTACGCTCTGGCCTTTTTCAAAGAGCTTGGCATACTGCATTATACAAGGACGCTTGCTCTCTGACAGCGCTGGGAAGAAAAGCTTTCATGTTTTTTTATTGTTTGTGGAGGCCGGGTCTTTTCAGAAGAAGGTTAGAGTTGCACCTGCCCCTCTAACCTTCTCAATTAATCATACACAAACCTTGGGAACGAACGAACTCGCATTCACAATAACAGCATTTCATCTGGGAACTTAGAAGTGGTGGTGGGTACACAAATGTGAATGGAAGGAGCACCTTTGAAATCCCAGCTGTCTAATGCAATAGCGCTGTGCTGATTTGCACTACAGTTTTGTTTGCATTGTATTTCACTAATGGGTTCCTTGCAAGTAGTTTTCTTATTTGTATTATATATCCATTAATTTGAATCAATAACAACTCATGTGAAAGATATTAAGTAGCTGTTCTGCTATCAATTATCATGAGAAACATGTGCTATTTTTATCTTGCTATTCAATAATTTCTAAGCACGCTATGGCTGGTAATTCTGCACATAGTCAGTGATCTCCACATCATTTGGTTGAGGCCTGTTCTTCTTGTTATTGTGTCGATGGAAAATTACAGAGCCAAAGAGGGAATGATTCTCACATGCTTGCTTCTAGTGCCTAATAGTCCTAAGAGTCATGTCTCACCTCCAAAAATGGGCTCACAAGTGCTTAAGTTCCAGATAGACCTGCAATTTGTCCATATTTAAGCGATATCCCTTTGAGCCAGACTTTGGTGTCAGATTTGGAACAGAAGCTTTATCTTATAAGGCAAAATAATTAATAAATTGGAGAGTGAAATGGCAAAGATAATAAGAGCTGACCTAATTGCAGCGTCTGAATTGCTATAATGAGCAGCATTATTAACTAAAATACAATGATAATGAATAACACACCAGAGGTGAAATAATGATTCTATCTATCTATCTATCTATCCATCCATCCATCCATCCATCCATCCATCCATCCATCCATCCATCCATCCATCCATCCATCCATCCATCCATCCATCCATCCATCCATCCATCCATCCATCCATCCATCCATCCATCCATCCATCCATCCATCCATCCATCCATCCATCCATCCATCCATCCATCCATCCATCCATCCATCCATCCATCCATCCATCCATCCATCCATCCATCCATCCATTTTTCTATCTATCTATCTATCTATCTATCCATCCATCCATCCATCCATCCATCCATCCTAAAGCAAATATCTATCTATCCATTATAAAGCAAATAATCCATCCATCCATCAAGTCAAGTCAAGTCAAGTCAAGTCACCTTTATTTATATAGTGCTTTTAACAATACAGATTGTGTCAAAGCAACTTTGCAGTATTAAATAGGAAAAGAGTGTGTCAATAATGCAAAATGATAATAGTAAACACTCAATTTTCAGTTAAAGGCAGTTCATCATTGAATTCAGGGATGTCATCATCCAGCTCAGTTCAGTTTAAATAGCATCTGTGCAATCAAGTGCCATCCATCCATCATAAAGCAAATATCTATCCATCCATCATAAAGCAAGTATCTATCTATTTATTATAAAGCAAATATCTATTCATCCATCCATCCATCCACTATAAAGCAAATATCTATCCATCCATCCATCCATCCATTAATCCATCCATCCATCATAAAGCACATATCCATCCATCCATCCATCCATCCATCCATCCAAAAGCAAATATCTATCTATCCATTATAAAGCAAATAATCCATCCATCCATCAAGTCAAGTCAAGTCAAGTCAAGTCAAGTCAAGTCATGTCACCTTTAAAGCAAATATCTATTCATCCATCCATCCATCCACTATAAAGCAAATATCTATCCATCCATCCATCATAAAGCAAATATCTATCTATCTATCTATCTATCTATCTATCTATCTATCTATCTATCTATCCATCCTAAAGCAAATATCTATCATCCATCATAAAGCAAATATCTATCTATTTAATATAAAGCAAATATCTATCCATCCATCCATCCATCCATTAATCCATCCATCCATCCATCATAAAGCAAATATCCATCCATCCATCCACAAGTCAAGTCAAGTCAAGTCAAGTCAAGTCAAGTCAAGTCAAGTCAAGTCAAGTCATGTCACCTTTAAAGCAAATATCTATTCATCCATCCATCCATCCACTATAAAGCAAATATCTATCCATCCATCCATCATAAAGCAAATATCTATCTATCTATCTATCTATCTATCTATCTATCTATCCATCCTAAAGCAAATATCTATCATCCATCATAAATCAAATATCTATCTATTTAATATAAAGCAAATATCTATCCATCCATCCATCCATCCATTAATCCATCCATCCATCCATCATAAAGCAAATATCCATCCATCCATCCATCCATCCATCCATCATAAAGCAAATATCTATCTATCAATTTTATAAAGCAAATATCTATCCATACATCATAAAGCAAATATCTATCCATCTATCCATTATAAAGCAAATATCTATCCATCTATTATAAAGCAAATATCTATCCATTATAATGCAAATATCTATCCATCCATCTATCCATCATAAAGCAAATATCCATCCATCCATTCATCCATCCATCCATCCATCCATCCATCTATTTATCCATCATAAAGCAAATCTATCTGTCTGTCTGTCTGTCTGTCTATCTATCATCTATGATTTGGCTCTATAAAACTGTAACTTCTGCCATTTGACACCTTTCTGGATCAACGAAAGTGTCTCAAATTAGCATTTAGCACTGCTGAGTCTTGGCATGATGCAACATCACGCTGCCAAATCCATTATGTGAGCTCCGTTTATTTTGGTCTTTACTATGCGGTGATAGAAACTATAAGAAAGTCCAGACAGGGCAGAAAGTAATCGGAAAGCAATTCACTGCAATTGAGAAATGACTGAACTGGCAGGGTTCCTCATGGTAAACGCTGGCAAGAATTTGAATCGTTATGACAACAATAATATCAATTAAGTGCATTTTAAATTATTAGCAAGCATTAATTTCAATGACAGAGAAAACGATATGGCAAAGACGACCGGCTTCAGCAAATCCTACTAATATCCAGTCATTGTGTAACAGTACTTTGGAATAATGACACAAATGCGAACAAAATAAAATCAAACAATGAATAAAACAATCATGTGTATCTACATGTGTACAACAGCGCCACTTACACAATGTACAATTTTTTTCAGTTACAGAATGTTCCTGGCAACTCATTACCACACTTTCAGAGCAATTTTTACAGTAGTATTTGTACAATGTCAAAGGAAGATTAAACCATTTATGTGATTAGGTAAATCACAATGCAGTGGAAAACTACCTAGTCTGCATGGATTTCATTGTAAAACTCTGAATACAGTGATTTATTGCAAGAAACTGCTGTGACATTTTGCAAAATCCGGGCCATTTTTATGGCAAAAATTAATCATACCATGTGCACTGAATATAAAAGTACTAAGAGTGAAATAATCATACCATGGAAAGACAGTCGTCCTTGCACTGTGTTCTTTCCCATCTTGTTCTCAGCCACACATTCATAGCCTCCGGCATCCTCCTGCTGGAAACTGGGAATCTCCAGAACTACATTTGAGTTCTTCATCTTCACCTTGCTGGGAAACGGCACTCCATTCGCTCTCCTCCACGTTATCTCTGGAACTGGGCTGAATGTATGAAAAACTATGGTGAGTAATCTTGCAAAAGAGAAAAATGAAAAAGCTACATACATAGAGAGAAAAAAGAAAGCAAGAACACAGAGAGAGAGAGAGAGAGAGAGAGAGAGAGAGAGAGAGACAGAAAAGATGAAGATGAAGAACAGAAATTTTGTATAATATCATTATATTGTAGATCACTGTCGTTCCTCATATCTCAGCTCTAACATACTAAATGAGTTACATTTCCTTATAAGACACCATCTCATTTCTTTTTGCAAGGAATACGTATATGGCTCATCCACTAATGGGATCAATTGAGAGAGAAAAATTGCCTCAAGGCAAAAATAGACTGTTATACGGTATTTCCCAAACAGATTTTGACAAGCATGTTTAAAAGGTGGCGAGAAGTGGTGGAAAAGGGCCAAGTTGAAAAACACATTAAGCTCAGTGACAGAGTACCATTAAAAGTCAGGGTAGCCGTAAAGGAAGGAAGCGGCATCAGTAACTACAAAAGGGTGAGGAATCACACTTACTTCCCCAAAGCAAAACACTCCAGTGTCACAACTGATCCCTTTGCAGCTGGAACCATATCAGAGAAATGAACCTCTATTTTCGGCTCATATTCACCCATTATGCCTATAAAGTAAAAAAAAAACTGCTTTACTTTTTTCATTCATAATTCATTCACTGATTATGTATAATAGTAGAAAATGCATTATACGATAGATACCAAAGAGTGTTAGTAGGTGAACAGTTTTTTTTCCCTGAGAACAAGCAGCTAAAACAAAGGCAACTAATTATTCATACCATCATCTGGAGTCTGACACAACGTGGAGAGGTGTGGTGTTTGCTGCAGCTTTTACAGTGTCGGTAAATATTTTATCCAGCCATTGTTTGTGTTTACTTTATGGCAAAGTATATTTAGGACTGTGAAAGCGTTTCTTGAGAGTAAGCAGGGTTGTCTACGAAGCTCTGACTTCTAAAAAACACTGTCTAAAACTAATTTACACTGTCTTGTTACGTTAAAAAAAGTGTTTGCATGGTGTCAACATGCTGTCAAGTCGACACCAGAGAAAGTGTTTTCGGTGTTGCTTTCAAATCCTAAGCAAAATAAATTAGTGTTACATTTAAAGTCCAAATACAAAGAAAGAGATATAAATCAACTATACATCTGCATTATTCAATACATTTAGTAAACCATTGAAACCAAGTGTCAACCAAGATTATTATACTTGCATTTCTGTTTTTAATACTATTCTCAAATATACTTTACATTTCGTTTTTGTCTTAGTTAATTTAGCAATGGTCTTGATAGTTACAGTAGTTACTTATCAGACCTTAGCACATTTTATATTATTAGTAGTAATAGTATCCTTTTATTACTATTATTGTTACCCCAACAATATGTCAAACATTACTACCAGCCAAAAATGCTTGATTGCCTAATATTTTGTTTCAAGTTTAGTTGTAATGCTTTTAAAATCATATCACATGTGAATGTATCTTCTTAATTATATGTGGTAATATTGTTGTATGGTGAACTCAGAGGGTAGGGTTAATTAAGTTAATCAAATTAGTGAAATCTAATATGGCACTAATTTAAAATTCTGCTAATACACACACATACACAATGTCAGTCTTTTAGCAAGTAAAAAAAAAAAATAGACAATGGTGGTAATATTGTAAAGGTCTATTTAGAGGGTTAAGTTAATCAAATTAGTGAAATCTAATATGGAACTAATTTAAGATCCTGCTAATTCATCTATTAAAAAGAAAAAAACAAACAAACACAACAACAACATATATTTGTTTATTCCACCTTGGAAACTGAACCTTAGTCCTAGTTATATATATAATTTGCTGTTAGCCCAGCTAGACTCATAATTTATCTAATGTTGTATAAGAACATGCTAACTATTTAATTTGAGCACTTAAAGTTTTTAATATTTAATATTACTTGGGCATAGTTGTGTGTTACAGTAATGAAGTTTTAATTTTATTATTTTACTGGATACACTACATTAAAGCTCTTTATTTATTTAATTTTATATGTACGTGGTGGAAGATGGAGCTGGTGGGACCTCCTACAGCAAGTGCACTAACACAATTCAAACAAACCTGATGCTTAACTGCATCAGCAGATCAATCAAACCCTTTAGTGCTATGCTATGATTCAGCTTCTGCCTACTAAATTGCCCACTGAAAAAGAAGAAGATATTTACCATCGGTTCGTAATACCAGAGGGGTTGGGGAGCTGAGGACTTTGCCTTTAGTGATGCGGTTTACCACCACGCACGTGTAGTTACCCACATCTGAGGGCTCGACTTTGGCGATGTAAAGGTTTCCCGTCTCCTGAGAGACAAAGCGACGATTGTCTTGCTGAACAAAGTAAGGGTACTCATTAAAGACCCATGCAAATGAGAGATCTGGAAAGGAGATGGGGAACAAAACATATATAATTCAAAACAAATCAACTAGGCTAGCCAAACACTCTTGGGAACTTAAATAAAAAAAACTGGTATAATCATTAGGGCACATAACATTTTTCTTTTCCAATAGCACTTCTGAAATCTGACCCAGGTGTATCTAAAATTATCATACGGTAATTAGAATCCTAAGCGGTGATAAATGCATCTTTATAAAACACTAAAAAGAATGTCAAGCCAAACAATATTAAAAACAAAAATAAAAAAATACTCTGACATAGGTGTCAGGCGTAGATTCAAAGATCAAATGAATGAACTCGCACACTTACTTGAAAGCCATTAAGTCCTTCAAATTTGTAAACATTTTTAGAGGCCACAAGGTGCAACAAATAAAATAAAAATTCATTTATTAAAAAGTGTTTGAATCCTATGGTCTCTAAAAATGATTTTAGACAAAGCATGTTAAAACATATAAAATCTCATGGAGCACACTGATAAAAGTCAGAACTCTGTATTTCACAAATGTACAGCATATTTATGCTAGACTAGACTATAAACCAAAAAAAGTAACACTATAAATGCCTTACCTCCTGCATATGATGGTGTACCACAAAGTAAAACGACCCCCTGGCCTTCTCGCACAGAGACAGCACTTCTCGTTTGAGTTTTTAAATTCAAGTCTGAAAGGCATGAAAAAAAAAAACATTCAGAAGATACAGCAATGCTAGACATGAGCATGAAATACAGTTGCTGTCCCAGCAGGCACCTTGGTATCAATTGATATCAATTTGACATCAAAAGTTACTCAAGACTTGATCAAGATGCTTTATAACATAATTTTAAGGTCAGTTTGGACAGCAATTTGCTGTGGTAATTGGGTGAAAATATGAAGTTAATACTCACACTGAAATTGGTTTAATGTATATGCAGGCCAAAGTGTTTGACATTCAGTTTACATCAAATCAATGTTGCGGTTTAGACGTCAAATTGATGTCATATTAACATTACATCAATGATTTGTGTGTTTTATTGATATTTATTACATAATATGAATTCTTTGTCAGCCTGGTTAAGTTTAAGCAGCATCTTAACTGGGGCCTCAGACAGCATCAATTCGCTATATTTCCTTTTGAAACGTGTCCCAAAATCAAACTGACGTCAAAAACTTGATGTCCATTTCACCTCCACACACTCATGTCCTTTCTAATGCCCATTCAATGACAAAGCTTTCTCTGGTGTTCAACACCACACCTGTAGATGGTGCTATGCTAGTAGTGACAGGGGAGCCTCTTCTTCAAAAGCATTTACAATCCTAAAATGAACCGTGACCTTGTGTCCAGCTCAAGTTCTGTCACTCTCAGGTGGGTACGTCATGTCATGTAAAACAAGTTGGCTTGGGTAACTTTTAAAGGGGTCATCGGATGCCCATTTTCCACAAGTTGATATGATTCTTTAGGGTCTTAATGAAAAGTCTATAACATACTTTGGTTAAAATTTCTCAATGGTAGTGTAAAAAACACAGGATATAACAGGCAGATACAACTACAGTAATCATTTATTAAAAAAAATATTAACATTCCAAGTCTTCCGAGGCAAAACGATTGATTTGTGAGAGGAATAGACGCGATTATGTCAGCCTTGGCTGTGAAATGCCATTGGCTCTTGTGTGTCTCGTGACCAATTGCGTCATGCTATGGTAGTATCTTTTTGAATGAGATCTGAGCACATTAACGGAGCGGGATCATTTTCAGCGATTAAAACCTTATGTTTTACTCTCTTCTACGCAAAAAGATATCGCATGGCTTCAGAATGCAACACAACTTGTTTGTAATACATTTATACTGCTTTTTTTGGGTCAGATTTTGCAATAAATACCTGTGACTGTTCTTATATTTGCCTGTTATGTGTTTTATATTGTTCAGAAGTGGGTGGGTTTAGGTGCTCCAATGAAAGTATAAATTTATATAAAATTATTTCTAATTTTACAAATGCATGCAAACCATTGAATTAAGGTAAACAACTGAAAACAATGGAGGACCCTGCATGTCGAAAATTGATGCTAAAAGGGTACCCTGTGCATTCAAAAATTACGCTAAAGGGGTACCTTGAAAGCGATGCCAAGGGCTCCTGACCAAGCGTCAATATGTGATGAGTTGGGAGTGAGAATGTGTTGCAGTAAAATATGACTTTGTGATATGACTATTTCTGGTAATTTTTTATGTATGCTCAGCTGTACCACGTGGTTTAGAATGTGCGTGAGACACAACCGCTTCCATGGCACGCCGCTATTTCACTTGGTAGTTGTACTCCATTTTGCAGTTAAAACTCGTTTCCCGGCTACACTGTCCATATATCTAGAGCCCTATGATTTCTGCGATGCGGACAACATGGAAGGAACCACAGAGTCCAGGCATAAAACCACAATTCACTGTATAATGCGGATGAATGTCACGGAATTTGGCCAATTTGAATTAAACAATCAGGAAGTAGGGCTGCACAGCTAATCAAATTCAGATTGTGATATGGACTAACATAAGTAATTATTCATCAGTTGTTCTGCAATCTTTGTTGAGAATAGGTGCATTTCTTTTTGATTTCAGGTTTGTTGAATAAAACTTTTCTTTCATTGCATTGCTTCTGTGTCATTATTTTGGTGGTCGAAAAGAACATCAGTGTGTAGATGTCAAATGGATCAAGGTCAAGGTCAACTATAAGTAAACCATTTGTAAGACTGCAGCTCTGTAGTTTGTGTGAGCATCCCAACATAGTAGTGACATTGGCTCAACCAATGGTGTGAGTTTTTAATTTCACAGACAAAAAAAATCTAGTGATTATATGTAGGCTATACTTTACATGGTTACACTGTAAAAATGCCAATTATTACATAAGTCAAAAGAACTCACTCCTCTGATCATAGTAACATATTCTTGACATTTTGTTTTTATTATATTATGCATGTTATGTATGCTGCATTTTTTCTGTATTTTATTGCAATCAATCAATCAATCAATCAATCAATTCCAAACAAGAAAATAAATCTAGTGATTGTATGTAGGCTAAACTGTACATTGTTACACTGTAAAAAATGCCAATTATAAGTACGTCAAAAGAACTCACTCCTCTGATCATAGTAACATGTTCTTGACATTTTATTGTTATTATTTTATACATGTTATGCATTTACAGCTAATGATCATTTTGTTAATCAAGTAATCTGACAATTACTTCCTTGGATTTTTGGATAAAATAAATGTTTTTCTATATTTTATTGCCAAATTTATTCCACACAAGAAAACAACAACAACAACAACAACAACAACACACACACACACACACACACACACACTCACACAAACTCATTTATCTATTCATAGCAAAATGTTCTTGCCATTTCTTTATTGTCAGTGTTATACTGTTTTGATGATGGTGGCAGAGAGTGCTTCATCCATTTTGGTCCATTGGTTCAAAATAGGTGTTCAAATGGGTTGAGATATGGTGACCATACTCATCAAACCATTCAATGACCTCTATGGTTGGGTCACTGTCTACCCGGAAGAGTCCATTGCCATCAGGATAGAAGTTGTTCATCATCTGATAAAGGTGAACTCTGAACAACTTTTTTGACTTGCAGTGATGCTTCCCTCTAAGGAAACAAAATGAACCAAAAGCATGCCAGCAAAATAGCTCCCATAACATAACAGAGCCACTGTATTCTCCTTAATTGACTCCAACATGTAGCTGGTGGCTTATCATCAGTATACAAACGATAAAATGCAAGCTCCAAGGGGTCACTCGACGCATGCAAAGTGAAGGACTATACATCTGAATTCCAGGCCAACATGGGGAGCAATGGATTGTGTTGAGCACCAGGTCTCAGAGGATACTGAAAAAGTTGGTTGAGATTTTCTCGACACCACATTACATACGTATCGGTGCCGAAACCATTGAGGTCACGGACATAGCAACATGGAAAGCTTATTTGTCGAGTCAACCGGCCATGCTCTCCAACGAGCTCTACATTAATCACATGTTCATCCATCATCATTTCAACATCAAAGTCACGAAAGTGAGGCAAAATTTAGTTGCGGTGGCAATCAAAAAAGTAATGCATGTGGAAAGCCCCATCAAAAGGGTCACCGTAATGCATTTTTAACTGGACTCTAATCATCTGAGCTGCTGAAACAGTCAAAACTGTGTGTTTTTTTTTAAAAAAAGGAGTCAGTCAGTGAATACTGAAATCCTGTCTTAATTATTGCAGTTATGAGCCTCTGTGGTACATCTGTTCTATTTATAGCTTAGAATTCTGGCTATTGTGATGTCATACAGTCATCATTTACTCACTCAAGTTCTTCCAAACCTGTACCAGTTTTCTCCTTGGTGAACATAATATGTGACCCTGGACCACAAAACCAGTCATTTTTTTTTAGAAATTGAGATTTATACATCATCTTAAAGCTGAACAAATAAGCTTTTCATTGATGTATGGTTTGTTAGTGCAATAGGACAATATTTGGCCGAGATACAGCTATTTGAAAATCTGGAATCTGAGGGTGAAAAAAAAAAAAATTCTAAATATTGAGATATTGAGAATTTTAAGTTAAAACAACAGTATGTGTTTTACACATATTAGTGTAATATGAAAAAAATGACTATGGAAGTCTGTGGGGACCAGAATATGGTTGCCGAGAGAGCTCAATGCGCTACAACTTAAGAAAACACATACAAATAGAAAAAGCACCAGAAAATTAAGAAAACATCTTCATCAGTTTGACCCCACACGTGCTGCAAATACTTACAACACAACCAAATACAGAAACGTGCTGCAGGTAGCACAATGGGGGGAAAACAATGCTTACAAAAATTAACCATGATTTTATTATAGTAAAAGTTTCGTAACCATGTTTTTTTTGGTGTATATTGATTACCATTTGTAAAACCACAGTTGTTTTAATAGTAAAACCAATTTTAACAGTAAAACCATGGTTTAATAGTAAGACCATGCAAATGTAAGCTATTTGCTGGTCTGAAAATGCATTAAACAGCACATACATCTGTCAAAGCTCTTGACAGGGCAAGCCAAATTAAAATACATGCTTAAAGAGTTTGTTTAAAGCACTTAATGTAACATGACACATCCTCATGTTTTGGGCAGCTTGGATTGTGCATTTTTCCTGCACTGCTCACACTGTGACCTCTGCTATTTTTCAGATGTTTTATCCATTAAAATGACTGCTGTAAAATTACGTGGCTGGCAGAGGTTGTCCATGCACAGCACAGAGACCAGATTAATTAATGAAATGAAAAGTCATTGTTGATTACTTTCATTAATGAATATTAGCTGTTTGCTATCTGATGCCAGAAAACATTATTTTTGCGGTTGTATTACGAAAAGTCAGTAGCACAGAAATCACATTTTTGCACACAGTGACCCACCTTTAAAATAATGCAGAAGAACATGCATTGCATGCACAGGAAACTTCTAACAGTTTGTATAATCAGTCTGATCCAAAACAAACAAATAACATTTAAACATACATTTTTGGATATATGCTGAAATGTATATGGACATATACAATATGCATTTTCCGACAGACAGAGCACTGAACATAAAAGTACTTATGTATGCACTTTATAAACGTATACATTTAAATAAATGTAAAAAATAAAATAATAGATAAATGTACAGTGACAATAATTTTGTCATGTAAATGTTTCTTTCAAATGAGTTAAATCAATGTCATGGAATTTAAATAATTTAATTGTCATTAATTACATGCAACAAAATCAACTGACAGACTTAATATTTTATGAATCTTTGTAAACATTAGTAAATTTTTAAAGTCATTCATACACATATACAATTCAATATGTTAATAATGTTAGTTTTTAGTGTCTATACCAGAGGTGCCCAAATGTTTTACTATGAAGGGCCAAAAAACAAACAAACAAACAAAAAAAAACCCCTGATTGGCAGGTAAATGTACAGTGAGAATTTTAGTTTAATATAATACTATATAGGGAAGTCGTGGCCTAATGGTTAGAGAGTTGGACTCGTAACCCAAAGGTTGCGAGTTCGAGTCTTGTACCGGCAGGGATTGTAGGTGGGGGGAGTGAATGTACAGCGCTCTCTCCCACCTTCAATACCACGACTGAGGTTGCCCTTGAGCAAGGCACCGAACCCCCAAATGCTCCCCGGGTGCTGCAGCATAAATGGCTGCCCACTGCTCCGTGTGTGTGTTCACTGCTGTGTGTGTGTGCACTAAGGATGGGTTAAATGCAGAGCACTAATTCCTAGTATGGGTAACCATACTTGGCCACATGTCACGTCACTTTTTTTTTTTCATATGCTATATAGTACATATACACACATATGCACAGGTTTCTTTTGAGTCAAATTGGTTAAATGTGTTAAATAAATGTTATGGAATTTAACATATTTAATGATTGCCATTAATTAAATGCAATTAAATCAACTGATTAATAACTCAATATTTTGAATCCAAAAAGATTTGTAAAAAGTTGTTCATACTGTACGCATTTAATATAATATAGGGTCCTACCACATTCAAGGCCCAGAAAGGTAGAAGAATTGTTGAATTGTTATTTTAGTTTTTTTGCGCAACAAAAAGTATTCTCTTAGCTTCATAAAATTACGGTTGAACCGCTGATGTCACATGGGCTATTTTGTCTATGTTCTTGTGCCGTATGTCAGAGTAATCAGTGCAATTTGGGAAAGAAATCAATTAAATCTGTATGTGGATGTGTGTAAATATTAAAATGTAATCCCCTTTGTAATCGTTAACATTTTCATAAGTAACTGTAATTTAATTACACATTTTTTCTTAGTAACTGTAACTGATTACAGTTACATTTATTTTGTAATTAAATTACGTAACGCCGTTACATGTAACTAGTTACTCCCCAACACTGGTAATTAATGACAGAATTTTCATTTTTGGGTGAACTATCCCTTTAATAATGGATGTTTCAGAGTCTATATCAGAGGTGCCAAAACGTTTTACTATGAGGAGCCAAAAATCTAACTTTAAGGCTGTGGGCTGATAGTAAATGCTGCATTATGTTCAACTATATCATTAAAAAAATTATAAAATAAAATAATCAATCAAATTCACTTATATTTTCTACATTTCAATGGAAAGACTAAATTAAATTAAACGTGTGCTTGAGTCATAGTTATAAAATAACAATGCAACCATTTGTTTTCACTGTATTTGCTTGTAGGAGCTATATTTGCATTAATTGCGTTAAGGTGTTGATAAGTCATTTTCTCTCTTCTTTAAGCTAGTCCAATATTGGCAGCATCCACTCTAACACCTGTCACCCTGCATTGAGCGGCTGAAGTGCTAATATAGCATGCTAACGCACAGTCGATGACTCACATGCAAACTGGAGGCTCGCTCTTCTGCTAAGAATTGCTCCCTGTGGGTTGAAGGCAGTGCACTGGTATATTCCTCCATCCTGGGCACGGTCCAGACTCCTAATGACCAAATTTCCCCCAGATAGCCGCCGACGGGATTCGGTACTGAGATTAATCAATGTGCCGTTCAGAGACCACCTACAGACACACAAACAGACAGATGATAGTGCACACAGCTCAATGTGTTGTGATACCTGCTGATTTTGAGTGATTTTTCATGATAACCTTTGAAATTGATTTTGTTTTGGATGTACAAATGTCATGTGGAATATCAACGAATCATTACAAAGCGGATTCAGATTGGTATTACACTTCAGATTGGTATTACACTTCATCCCTGATTCATTTCAATAAGACATTTTTCAAAACCCGAACAGTCTGATGGCCTATGGAAATGTTGTGAAGAAAAGCTAAATTTTTCTCATTGAACGTCCTGTTTCACTTGGAAATGGATCATATTATACAGGTAAAATCATTTGCAAATGGCAATTCATGTTGAGTTTTTATGCTGAAAGATTTCCAGCAGCTCTTTTTGCTGTCCTTTTCATTGTGCGATGATTAGCGCCGGAGAGTCTCATTAATTCCACTTTCTCACACCTCATCTACGCCTATCATTAAGACCCAAGACCCGAGCCTACCTGAGGCCTTAACTACTAGCATGCAATTCAGAGGCCAGCCCACTAATGTGGACAGATTTTCAAAGGGCGCAAGATCATTTAAGGATCCTGAGGCCTCACTAGTCATTCACTCTGACAGGGCGTCAGCTGGGTTGAACTCCCATAGTTCAACTGTGTGTCTGCACACTCCAGGAACAGATGCTGAGTGCTAATTTACTAGCGTGAGCAGTGGATGCAAATAAACTGATGGAGGTGTAAATACAAAAACAATCTTATAGAGCCGTGATCAAGGCCCCCTGTTGTCCACAACAATATACAAAGGCTCTACGACTTTTCCAGTTGTTCGCGATTTACCGGACAAGGATTAAGCATAAGGTTTTTTGTTAAAACTTTACCAATTCTCACTATTAACTTGCATTCATTTTACTAGCATATTGGCTGTTTATTTGTACTTATAAATTTTAGATCCCTTAATCCTACCTCATACATAAACTTATAAATAAATACCTTACTATTAATAAGCAGCAAATTAGGAGTTTATTGAGACAAAAGTTGTAGTTAATAGTGAGAACTTGAGCATAAAATAAAGTGTGACTGAATTAAAAAAAATATGTTTTGCTCAATTTCTACCTGATAACATAGTTTATAGTTTAAAGGTGCAATAGGTGATTATCTTCAGAAACATTTTTGTTATGCTGGTGTTTTTAATACATTGCATGTTTTCTCTTCTTTCATTAGCTGATCTGTACTTACAAATGCGCTTCCAGAGTTTTCATTTACGCTTCTAAAGTTTCCGTTTACGCTTCTGAAGTTTTCATTTACGCTTCTGAAGTTTTTGTTCGCTATTCTGACACAAATCTCTCGTGGAGGCGGGGCTAGCAGCAGTGTGTTCTCATTGGCTACTGAGTTTTTGATTGACAGCTTCTCACACAGCTACCGTGACAGTAATCCATCTGACCTTAATGGTTGAATAAGTATCTTTTGAAGTGAAACAACAGATAAGAAAAACACGAATAATTGAAACTTTTGACTATTAACAATCACTTCCGATCAACTGTCATACGTGCATGGCTTACAATTCACTTGTGTTATGTGGATTCTCAGGAACTGTTGAAAGGATCATTGCAGTTTAAAACATATTATGAATTTTGAACATATTCTGTATATTATGTTCTTGTGCATTTTGTGTAGCAATGTAAATTATGAGAATACAGCGTATCCGTGTGATGCAGCTGACACAGAACAGCATACGCTGTTTACGTCCAGCTGATACTCTCCAAAATGGCGCTACAGGGTGATGTGTAGGAGACGAATTGTTGAATAAATGATGAATTTTCATTTTTGGGTGAACTAACCCTTTAAGTGGTCTAAATGTATTTATCTGTATTTATATATTCTGTGGAAGGCGTAGGACCAAGAAATATTTGTCCAATCAAAATGCTCGTTCCGAGCGTTTTTATTGACTTTCCTACCTGCCTGTCAACATGTGTATTAGCATACCTCTGCGCACCCTGTTCGCGCAGACAGGATACGTCATCAGCGCGTTCACGCACGCTGTGCAGACAGAGCGAGAATGGCAGACAAACATCAACAACCCGATCTTCCTTCCTGGTATTGTAGTACTTTTAAAGTTTTC